GGTCCCACTGGCAGGCGGGCAAGAAGGGAGTCCGGGCGGCGTCCGGCGTGGGAGCCGCGGGACCACCATGGTAAAGAAGCGGAAAGGCCGTGTCGTCATCGACTCGGATACGGAGGACAGCGGCAGCGACGAGAACCTGGATCAGGTCAGGACAGGCCGCGGAGGCGCGGGCCGGCAAAGCGGGAGGGCTGAGTCCGGGGGCCACGGGAGCCAGGAGCCGGCCGGGCCCGGAGCCTCCGGACCCGAGCGCCCGGGCTGCCCCGCGCCCTGACTTGCTGCCACGGCCCCCTTCCCGCCCTCCTTGCCCCGCGGCCCAGCCCCTCGGGGTCCGGCCCGGGCCTGGAGACCCAGCTCCGAGAGGACTTGGCGCCGCGGACCGAGAGGCGGGGCAGGAACCGGGCTGATGGGCCTCGGGGCTCCGGAGGACGGAAGGGGGGCCGCGATCTCCTGGGGCCGGGTCGGGGCGGCCGGCGGCAGGCCGGGAGCCCCGGGCCCGGAGCGGTAGGAAGTGTCGCCCGCCGGCCCTGGTGGCTGGGAGGTTTTGGAGGAGGCGCCAGGGCGAGCGTGGGGCGGTGGGAGGGGGAAAGAGCCGGGAAGGTGCGGGACTCGTGGAGGATGAAGTTTCCGAGACCGGGGACACCTGCGAGGAGCTTCCAGGCTCGGCGGGGAACGCCGAACGGCGGGCACGAGTCCCCGGGAGAGGAGGGCGGTCTGTGGTGGGGACGGGCGCTCGGTGGGACGTCCGGCCGAAGGCAAGGCTCCGCCGGAGGAGAGAGGGCGGAGGGTGAAGCGGAGAGAACTGGGGCGGCCGGGGGGAGCCGTGCCCCGGGCTCTGAGCGGCGTCCCAGACCGGCTTCTTCGGGGAGATTGCACAGGAAGCACTGGAAGTAGCGTCTGGCCCGGCCCTGGCGTCTCGGGCCGGCTTGAACTGTGGATGTACTCTAGAAAACACTGGAGGGAAGAGGCTGCCTTGTGGCAATGCTATACCAGGAAACACCCAGATGGGTTTCTCTGTTCCATGCATAGAAAGAGAGAATGTGCACCGTAGAAGTTTAGTAGAGAAAGTACTCAGTTTGATGCCTCAGGCTGGGTGTGTGCTGCTTTATCTTTAGTCTTCTGTACCTAGTTGGACAGTGGTAAGGAAGAAATGCTTATAAGATATTGGTGCAGACATGTGCAAACTTTCTCCTTTATTACATGCAGAAGTAGGAGTGTTAAGTATTAGAACATGAAATAATAATAATAATAATTATTATTATTTGTCGGTTGTGGGGCTTGAACTCCGCCTAGCCGCTGACCCCGACCTCCTTTTCTCAAGGCTGGTGCTCTACCACCTGAGCTACAGCGTCACTTCCGGCTTTTTGTGTATGTGATTAATTGGAGATAAGACTCCCCCCGCATTACCTTCCCCCCCAGCTGTCTGCGAACCCGCCATCCTCAAATCTTAGCCTTCTGAGTAGCTAGGATTACAGGCCTGAGCCACCGACGCCCGACCTGAGTTGGGAAAAATTTAAGTGAGAATTGGAAAAAAAAATTATTTTTTAATTTTTGTTTTTATTTTTTGGTTGGTCGTGGGGCTTGAACTCTGGGCATGGGCGCTGTCCCTCAGCTCTTCAGTGCAAGGCTAGCGCCCTACTGCTTGAGCCACAAGCGCCACTTCTGGTTTTCTGGTTGTTTATTGGAGATAAGAGTCTCAGGGAGTTTCCTGCCCGGGCTGGCTTTGAACCATGATCCTCAGATCTCAGCCTCCTGAGTAGCTAGGATTATAGGCATGAGCCACCCGTGCTCAAGTTTGGAAAGGTATTTTAAAATGGTGTTGGAAGTTGGGCCCTAGTGGCTCACCCATGTAATCCTAGCTAGGATAGTGGGTAGGAAAGTCTGTGAGACTCTTTTATCTCCAATAAACTACTAAAAAAAAAAAAAAAGCTGGAAGTGGAGCTGTGGCTCAAGTGGTAGAGCACTGGCCTTCAGCAAAAGGTCAGGGACAGTGACTAGGCCCTGAGTTCAACCCCCCAGGACTGGCGTGCGCGTGCACACACACACACACAATGGTGTTGGAGAAGTGAGAAAGTAACCGTAGACACCTGGGATAGACACCTTGCTTTGGGATAAGAGTTGAAGGTGTATCATGGAAAGTCTCCTAAAATCTACCAAAATATGTTCTTGCCTCTAAAGATTTCATTGAAAATTATTATTACTATTATTATTACTAAGAAGTTGTACCAATTCAATTAGTCAGTTTATAAGTATATTGTACCCCTTGTCACCTCTTGCATCGTTCTTTCCCAACCCTATCCATATTCATTGATAGTTTTAAGATGCTAATTAAGATTGGAATCTGTTTTTTGAAAACTATTTTCTCATCTACTAGTATAGCCATGTCAGATAATGACATCAGCTACCTTTTACTTAGTCTCTGGAGTGAACAACACACTTTAATTACGTTTTTTCTTTCCTCTTTTTCTTTTGAGGTGCTGGGGACCTTGCACATGCTAGGCAAATATTCTGTCACTGAGCTACATTCTAAAATCATGGTGAAGTTGGATTCATTTTTCCCACTTTACATATGAGGAAAATGAAGATTGAAGAAGTAATCCACACAACTGGGAATTGGTAGAATTGGAACTTAATACAAATCTACTTGAATAGAAGGCCTATATGATTTCCACTATGCCTACTTAATCTGCTACTATTCTAATTTTTTATATTGTAAAATGAGAGTAATGTTTCGTGGCCATTTAGCATGTTGCTGGAATTCACATTTCTGAAGTGACTAGATAATTTAGAGAAAATTGGCAAATGAGTTAAAAAGATTATTATTCCCAAGACATCTGTTCCAAAGGGGAGTGAACTTAGCTGCGTATTAGTCTGTCCACAGTGGTTTCTCATAGCATCTGATGAGTCAATAAGTGAAGTGCTTCTACTGGTTATAGATATTTTACTTAGCCCACAAATTGCCTTTCTAAAGTGGGAACTGCAGCTTTAAATCCAATTCTAAATATTTGTTTGTAAAAAAAATTAATTAAATTTGTAACTAATATTTAGTTCATTTTAGCAATTGCAGCTTCCCTTCAACTACTCATTGACCTTCCTTTTGTTTTCTTTTCTTTTGTTTTGTTTTCTTTGTGCCAGGGCTTGAACTCAGGGCCTGAGCACTCACCTGAGCTTTTGTTCAAGACATTTGTGTTCTGTCACTTTGAGCCATAGCTCCCCTGTCAGCGTTTTGGCAGTTAATTGGAGCAGAGTCTCACAGACATTCCTGCCTTGGCTGAGTTCAAACCATGATCCTCAGATCTCAGCCTTTTGAGTAGCTAGTCTTCCAGGTGTGAACCACCAGTGCTAGGTCTCATTGGTATTCTTTGTTATCAGATGGGAACCAGATCAAAAGTCCCTTTCCTTGCGCATCCTGGCAGGGGCATCACTACCTTCCCTCTGATTATGCATTCAGCAGTGTGTCATGTTCTGAGAGAAAGATTTCTGTCCTCTGAATGATTGTATTCCTGGAGGCCTTTAGTAGAAGTTGTTCTACCAGCTTGATTTTAGGATTTTTTTTTTGGTCAGTTGTGGGGTTTGAACACAGGGCCTGGGCATTGTCCCTGAGCTCTTTTGCTTAAGGTTTAAGGCTAGTACTCTACCACTTGGAGCCATAGCTCCACTTCTGGTGTTTGAGTGGTTAAATTGGAGATAAGTGGCTCACTGGGACTTTTCTACCTGGGCTGGCTTTGAACTACAATCCTCAGATTTCAGCCTCCTGAGTTGCTAGGGTTACAGGCATGAGCCACTGGCACCTGGCCTAATTTTAGATCTCAAGGAATCTTTTTTTTTTTTTGTCAGTCGTGGGGCTTGAACTCTGGGCTTGGGCGCAGTTGGCTCAAGGTGAGTGCTCTACCGCTTGAGCCACAGCGCCACTTCCGGTTTTCTAGTGGTTTGTTGGAGGTTAAGAGTCTCACGGACTTTCCTTCCTGGGCTGGCTTTGAAACATGTTCCTCAGATCTCAGCCTCCTGAGTAACTAGGTACAGGCGTGAGCCACAGGTGCCCAGCTCTTAAGGAATCTTTAGAGCATAGTCAGTACATTCTGGTCCACCTACTTCTGAGTCTTCATTGAGGGCTTGACTTCAGGCTATCTCACATAATGTTCCTTGTGGAAAGGAAAACCCTGACAAATCTCCCAGTGGCTACTGTGAGAGTAGTGCAGTTGGCAGGGAGATCTTTCTGAAGAAAACCTGAGTTTTCCAAATGGGAATCTAAGCCATTATGTCAGAAATACTGTTATGACCTTCAAGTTAATCTTTGTTGGGGGTGAGATGGGTGATCCTTCCAGGCTGGTGTTCCTGGGAGTTAGAGCAGGACCCCTGTGGCAAAAGGCACTTGTGTTACTTATTTAAAACATAGCGTTAGAGGGGTGAAGGGTATCGTTCCTACCCTAGGTTTACCGAATTAGACCTTTGAGAATAGAGCCCTGGACTCTGCATTTATCATCGGTACAGGCCATGTAGTTATGATTTGTTTAGGACTGAGACCACTATTACTATGCAAGTTAATCTTTGTGAAGGTTAATCACTGTTACTATGCAATTTAATCTTTTTAGTAAGACTCTAAATAGTTTAGGAGAGAAATAGTTTCCGGTCTGTGCCATAGTATGTCCAAATTAAGGGCATGTATATATTCAAAGGAATGTTTAACCAGTAAAGCTGCTGGTTCTAAGTCTCTAAAGTGATTTGAATTGTTGCGCTGATTTTTGTTTATTTATAGATCTGGAATTGAAACTAGGGTCTAATGCATGCTAAGCATATGCACTTTACCACTGAGCTCCATCCTAACCTCTAGAAATACCTTGGTTTTTTTTTTTTTTGGTCAGCTATGGGGCTTGACTTCAGGGCCTGGGCACTGTCCCTGAGCTCCTTTAGCTTAACCCTAGAACTCTACCACTGGAGACACCTGGGCACCACCTCCTGCTTTTTCTGTGATTTAATTGGAGATAAGGGTCTCACAGACTTTCCTGCCTGAGCTGGCTTTGAACCATGATCCTCTGAACCAGGCCTCCAGTCCAGCATCTTCCTGGTTAATTGTAGATAGCCTTTTCCTTTCACCAAAAAATTTTTGAGTAAAATACATGCTGAGGGCTGGGAAGGTGGCTCAGTGGT